CCGTCGTCATGCCTGAATGCGCTCGTACTCTGACGTTATTAAAAGCTTTAACGGGGAAATTGGCATGCGATAAGGTCAGGTGAGACGCACTGTCGTATTACATGAACGCAGGTACGACCGGAGGAACGCCGTCAGGCGTGCGCACGACGCAAAATTTAGAAGTAGTTAAAATTCGCCAAAACCCGTTTTAAAAACTTGTCCCACCGCTCGGCAACGGGTGGTCGCAGCGAAATGGGATCAGCACATTTAGACGCGGAACGGAAACGCGCACTCGTGCGAGCAAAGCGCGAACCGATACGCGTTGAGGCCCACGTGCGCTCGTGCGCAACCGCAGATGCGATGGTTTTCGGCGTTTTTCACGGATCTCTGTCAGATCACGGCAGTCCCAAGCAGATAACAATGCGAAAAACGACTCCTCCGTGCAGGTACGTGTGCCATCTACAAATAACGTAGCCAGCCCAACACCGCCCGACCCAAAGCGACGTCGGCGATCGACCGGGAAGCAAACAATGTCGAGTTTTCGAACGCAGTCTCAAATAAAATACGCTGGATTCGAAACCCGGAGAAACTGGAATCATGAAAATGACGCTGGTGCAAAGCCCGGTTCACCATGACCAATTCCACTGAACATGTCGGCAGCGCGCAGGTCGTCGCTGCCGTCGGCACAAACTGCCGCTCTCATTTGCCGGCATACCGTCGACTACACACCGGACTGAACATCCCGAGTTTCTGCAGGCGGCCCCTAAGCGGAGGAGATTTCCAGGTGCATCAGTGGACGTGCGGCAGACGTGGGGACCAGCAGAAGAGGGCAAAAAACAACGCTGCCGAGACAACAGCAAACATTTCCACTGCGGCTTACGCCCGATTTCATGTGCAACTGGCTTTGCGCCTTCCAATGGCGTAACTGGATTGGCTAATTCACATATCGCGTGTGTCACATGCGAGTGCGGCGGTTATTGAAAAGTGTTAGGGTCCGTTCGGCGGCCTGCACCATAGCGATATGAAACAAAAAAGCGACTGAGACGCAATAGCGTGTGTGCACACATTGTTGTTCCGCAGCAGTGGTCAGCGCGTTCGGCTGGCTACGTGCTGTCGATCGCGATGCATGCACCGGCTAACTTCATCACGTGTTGTTTGTGGAAGGCCTTCCAAGGCGGAATCTTCAGATTTCACACGCGATAGCTACGGAAACTCATGAGCAAATGGCGTGCTGGCATATTTTAGAATAGTCCAGTGCAATGGGGGAGGGGGAGGGGGAAGGGGAGGGGAAAGGATAGAGTCATTAGGTGCGGGGAGAACAGAGTATTTAGGCACATGTTTTAAACAATTATTCCCTTCACGTATTTTGGAGCGATATATTTTTGTGCGACAAGACCAAGTGGCGCACATCATCGTATAAAATGTTGGGCGCGGTCCGATCCGGTATGTGAGTGTTTGACATAATCAAAGGACGAGACAATTAAGGACCGAATCATAAATAACCCTCAAGACCGAACGCCACATGTACAAATCGCTGCATCGTGCAATGCCACTGTTCTAGTATATGGCGCTGTAGCGAAGAAATGCGCTTACTCTAAGGCTTTGACCCCCGTCTAGAGTACGCTTTGTTAAGCAGCTGTTCGATCGCACACCATGGCGTCCGAGAGAAAGCGAAGCAGAACGGTGATCGGCCCGCCGCTGTGGACTGCGGCCGCTTTGTCAGCCTTGCGGTGACGTGTGCCGGCGCTCGGTCGGAGCCCTGCCTGATCGGCGCTCGGTCGGAGCCCTGCTGGACCGGCGCTCCTGACCGGCGCTCGGTCGGAGCCCTGCCTGATCGGCGCTCGGTCGGAGCCCTGCCTGATCGGCGCTCGGTCGGAGCCCTGCCTGATCGTCTGACACGCGTGACGTCTCGATTGTTCGGCGCGGAACAGGTACAATTATCCATATACTTTGATATATTAACATGATATTATACATTAGTTAGTGTAGTTGTTAAAAATCAGCTATCATGATATCATATGTTAGCTGTATCGTCACTTCCCAAATCTTTTAAAACCATTTATTACAGATTAATATAACAATGTAAATAAACAGTGGCAATTGCTACCTCAAAAGTCCTCTTTCAATGCCTTTGCTGATGAAACCCAACTGCACGTTTTTTTGTCATCCCATTGTCATCCCAGCTCCCAACTGGGCTCTACTGATGTGTGTCCTGGGCTGAATGGCTGTTCCTGCTTGTGACGTATGTGTGACGCTCGTGGAGTGATACTCGGTCCAGGCGAGTTAATAAGAGAGTTATCCGTGGCAGCATGCTCAAGACGCTCGTGAGCCGCTAGGTATCAGGTGACATACAAGACAGCGCAGGCAGGGACATGCGGCCGACAGCGGCACACGAGGCTGCGCAACCCGGCGCCGACAGCGGCACACGAGGCTGCGCAGCCCGGCCGACATACATAACCAAATTTTACTTATTAGTAAGCTTGGTCATCAAGGCGCCATAGTTAGGTAACATCATAGGGCAAGGGCTTATGGGACTCCCCGTCAGATTTGAGTACAGTGTTCGACCACGACGCTACTGAAACTAATTCTGAAATTTGGCGATCGGGAAAACTATTTTAGTTTTATATCACATAGACTCTACCATGGGCCGTGACATGTGGAGGCAAACTCTAGAAAACCGAGGGATAGCCGGGTGAACAGGCGCGGTGCGCAGCTGAAATAATTGTCTAAGGCACCAGGGAAAACCAACACCAATAACTCATTGATACGTCAGGGACTGAACCCATTTGCGTTTGTGTCGTTTTTTGTCTCTTATGGTGCGTAGGTACTGTCAATGTAGCTAGGATGCGCTCGCAAAATCGCCCCTTCGCAAAACATGGTGGCCACCTCCTTGTCACAGATTCTGCCAACAACCTTGCGTTCCCATGACGTCTCTATGATGTCACACATGCCTGAATGACTTTCCCCCATAGGCGGCGCGTAATAACCTACACAAGTTCATGTGCATCAAACTCACAAACATGAGGATGTGAAGTCCTAAAAGGACGGGCCGTGAACTGCAGGCAACACTCATCAAAATCGCGGCCTCCCTTACAGAAGTAGAGCAGTTTCTTCACTGAATACATCTAATGACGTGTATCTGTATGGAAAGCCGAAGCCGGCGGAGCCGAGACTACCCGGCTAACATCATATTTTCACGACACAACCTGACGCCTGGTGCGGGTCATGGGGACATTCCGGCTCAACCATCTGTGTTTCCAGCAGTCAGTCGCGGGCATATAAAACAACTAATTGAGAAGGCGGTGTATAATATAAACGGCAATATGGATTTGTTTTTTATACGATGGGGCGTCTCCTCGAAGCACTACACAAATGTGTATCCTGCTGCCGGCCGACTGCCACCTATAATACAGAAGTACCTGTCTTTGTCAAAAGGTGTCGCTGCCACCAAAAGGAGCGTTCGTTCTCTGCAAAATTTTGCATACCACATGGCCTCAAACGACTTAACACCTCTTACGAAAACGGACAAACACTAACTGAACAGGATTGCGGAAAGCTATTGGTATTCTAGAAGTGATGCTGCATTATGACGCCTAGTAAACACATACCTTTACCCAACCACACGCCCAACCACACGCCCAACCACACGCTGACGTGTGCAACGCCGGGGCCTGCGCTCCCAGATACAACCCGCCACGTCCAGCCCTTCGAGCTTCATTAGGAGGGGGTAAGGACCGGCACGCCAACCGGCGATGACCAGGAGGCGCCGCGACTTGACCGACCGATAACCGGCGGCCACAAATCTGTTCTGACGTCACAACAGCGTGTTATCGGGCGTGTGGCGCGGCGGCCGCTCGACGCGCGCGATAGCCGACCAGCGGCGACCGCGGCCGTAATGCGGCTGCACCGGGCCGACCCGCGGGCCATGCTGACCGTGCTGCTGTGCGCGCTGGCCGTCTGGACGCCGGCGGCGGGCGGCGCGGCGGCGGACGCCTGGCCGGGCCGCCTCGCCGCGCTTGCAGCAGCAGCAGGCCGGCCAGCAGCCGCTGGGACACCTCTTGGACGGTAAGACGGCCCCGCCGCCGCGTCGGCGCCGCAGCCGGAGGCGCAGGTGTGTTGGTCCAGGTTGTTTTGGTCCTAGCCTAGGTCGAACTCTCACCTGAGAGAGGTACGGCCGGATCTGGTCCGGTCTGGTCCGTCTGAGCCTAGTTCCGATGACTGGTGTACTGCACCAACTGTAACGATAAACTAAAGATACTCTTGATTCACACGATATTGGGTTATTTACAACGTCAGGGAGGATTAGCATTCCAATGTGTACATCAATAGTCATTTAAGTACATAATTTCTTGCCCATTTACACCACATTTACATTTCTTGCCCATTTACATCACGTCGTCATCCCGTGGGCCCGGACCAGCTCACGACAGACTTACAAGGTACTGAACCTGTTACCCCCTGGGTTCAGCTCAGCTTTCCTTGTCCGGATATCGGTATTACGGTGACATTTCGTACTGTGTGCTCGGCTCCTGCTATCTGGGGCCGGGCTGACTGCCAGTCGGTATGTCGGTAGGTTGTTGTGTTGGAGTCTGGATATCGGTATTGCGGTGACATTTCGTACTGTGTGCTCGGCTCCTGCTATCTGGGGCCGGGCTGACTGCCAGTCGGTATGTCGGTAGGTTGTTGTGTTGGAGTCCGGATATCGGTATTACGGTGACATTTCGTACTGTGTGCTCGGCTCCTGCTATCTGGGGCCGGGCTGACTGCTAGTCGGTATGTCGGTAGGTTGTTGTGATGGAGTTGGAATCTCTAGGGACCAAAAAGCCACCGACTCCTTTCATTTATACACACTCCTGCCTCCCTCTGACTTTCTCGAGCCATGGCTTACAATGGATCACGTTTGGTCGTTTGATGCTCGGTTCCTTCATCATGCATCGTATGCATCTGCCAGGAACACAAGTCTCGCCACACCGATTTCAGTGTGGGGGACGAGATCTGCACCCTTGACGATCTCACCATGCTGTCGCGTGGGTCCTCTGGCACCGATGAACCACAGCGGCCAGGTGTTTCGCATGACGCACTTGTGAATATCACGAGTCGACGAGGCTCGGTGGAGGACTTTGGGCTTGTTGGATGCATTATCAAGGGCGACCGCCTAATAGCGGATTATACATTCTGACGCGAGCACTGGCCACATGCTGTTATGTAACGCCTTCCCAACTACCTGTTGGTGACATATATCTGCACGCCGCTCAGCAACAGACGAAATTTTACTGCCAACGTACGACTACTTTTGTAACACAATTGCTCTAAGCTGGTTCCATCTGGCCATGAGTATTTAAGCCTTTCCTCCAACACCTCAGCATGAAAAATTTTGAAAAACAAAACAACCATTGCACACCTGTGCGTTATGCGACAGAAATAACAGCATTGTTTGGTTGTTACTGCTGTTAGTTTTTGCTACCAACGCACAAATGCGCCGGCCGTGGCGTCAGCAGTGACGTCAGAGCAGATTCGTTTTATTTGGCGTCATGCATTCCCCACATCCGCCGTCCTTCCTTGCAGCTATTTCATGATCTTGAATGCTTTTGTGCGCGTAGAAGGGGGAGGGGTTGTTCAAGGGGGCGGAGGTGGTATGCGTGGGCGTGGAATGTCGAGCATTTTTGAAAGTGATCACCATCGTGATCGTCCTTAATTTGAGCCTCTTCACTGTTACTGTTCACGGAAAGCAGTTGATGTCCACGGCAGCGGGAGCTTTTGTAGGTCTTCTTGCAATCGTGTCATGAGCAGAGTCAAGCGCCAAAATCCGTTGTCGGTTCATGGCAACCGGCGAACGTTAACAGACAGTGCATGTGCTCACCACCACGTCCGCTGTCGTCAGCATTCGTAGTCGCAGAGCCCCACACGTGCAACGGCACCTCCGACTGCTGCACACATCCCGAGTACTGCGTCTGCCAACATGATAACTTCTGCCTTTGCTCGGAAATCGCCTACTGGAGCGATGCGGCCGACCTCTGCGTGCTGAAAGGTGAGCCCATGCTGCGGTCGGGGCCGCTGCGCCACGGCGCGGACCGTGAGTTGGCGCCCGTACGGCCGTGTTCGGCTCTCCGCCGGCCCGTCCGATCCATCACAGGAGGCGATGCTGCCCCGGGTCTGGCGATGACCAAGGCGGTGTGGGGGTGGTGCTGCTCCGGGGTCACAGCGCTTGGTTCCCGTGCTGTCGTTCTGCATCCAGCGAAGCGGCGGCGTGGGGCTCGGGTGCAGCCTGCCGCGTTCGCCCGCTATGGTCGCTCGAGCTTGGTCCCGGTGTTGTTTGATCAGCTCTCCATTAGAACCGGCTATCGCATCCATCGCCCTAGGGCTTTACGTAACTATAACCCAGTGTTGAACCCATGGCGAGAGCTGGCAGCCGAGTCAGGGCTACGCAGCTGCCGCCATGCCCGTACACGGCACCGACGCATTCAGGAAAGCGTGCGGACAGAGTTAGGAAGCTTCTCGGGCTGTTTCTGCCTTGACATGGCCCAAGCTTCTATGGCGTCTCCCAGATCTGATCACTCAATTCGGGTCTCAGTTCAACCACAATTAGGAGTGTAGGAATCCGACATAATTGTGACGAATCTTAACACCGGTTTTCTTTTCTTTTGCTACCTCGCGCCGCAATGGAGACGATGTCCGAACTCCACAGTTGGGATATCCGAACTCCACAGTTGGGATATGCGCACTCCACGCGCCTCCAACCACCGTACGACGAACTTGGCGAAGACGATGTCCCGCACGCGTGACCCGCGGCATCACCCTTGCACTTTCCTCCCCCAGGTGATCTGGGTGCCAACTGTACGGTGGAGGCGTCCGTGGTCAGTGACCAGACGTGTCAACCCAAGCACAGCTCTTGCATTAGCGGCGTCTGCGTGTGCGACTTCCCGTTCAGCCCGGATGACAGTGGCGTCATGTGCGTGTCCATGCAGTCGGCATTCTTTAACACCACGATCCTCATCTCCATATGCATCCTCTTCGCCGTCGTCGCCATTGGCGTTTGCATGCAGGTCCGCAGCAACATGCAGAGGTGAGTGGTTGTGTCGCACTGCTCGGTGTGGCTTCGATACCGTCGGCTGGTGGCTGCGCCGTACCGCTCGAGAAGTTCTCACGATGGTTCGGCAGAGTGGACTGCGACATGACGTACCGGTCGGGGTGGTTCGGCAGAGTGGACTGCGACATGACGTGCCGGTCGGGGTGGTTCGGCAGAGTGGACTCTGACATGACGTACTTCTCGGGGGGGTTCGGCAGAGTGGACTCTGACATGACGTACTTCTCGGGGTGGTTCGGCAGAGTGGACTGCGACATGACGTACCGGTCGGGGTGGTTCGGCAGAGTGGACTCTGACATGACGTACTTCTCGGTGTGGTTCGGCAGAGTGGACTCTGACATGACATACTTCTCGGGGTGGTTCGGCAGAGTGGACTGCGACATGACGGACCGGTCGGTGTGGTTTGGCAGGGTGGACTCTGACATGACGTACTTCTCGGCGTGGTTCGGCAGAGTGAACTCTGACATGACGTACTTCTCGGGATGGTTCGGCAGAATGGACTGCGACATGACGTACTTCTCGGCGTGGTTCGGCAGAGTGGACTCTGACATGACGTACTTCTCGGCGTGGCTCGGCAGAGTGGACTGCGACATGACGGACCGGTCGGCGTGGTTCGGCAGAGTGGACTCTGACATGACGTACTTCTCGGGGTGGTTCGGCAGAGTGGACTCTGACATGACGTACTTCTCGGCGTGGTTCGGCAGAGTGGACTGCGACATGACGGACCGGTCGGTGTGGTTTGGCAGAGTGGACTCTGACATGACGTACTTCTCGGTGTGGTTCGGCAGAGTGGACTCTGACATGACGTACTTCTCGGGGTGGTTCGGCAGAGTGGACTGCGACATGACGTACTTCTCGGCGTGGTTCGGCAGAGTGGACTCTGACATGACGTACTTCTCGGTGTGCTTCGGCTAAGTAGACTGTGACATGGCGTACCGGTCGGGACGGTTCGACATCGTGGACTGTGATATAACGTACCTCAGTCTGGTGGGCAGCGTTGGTTGTTGCGTAACTTACCATTCGTTCTAAGTAACAATCGAGCCTTTAGCCCAACATGCCGATCACTGCCGGTACAGGGTCGCAGACGTGTTCAGCGATAGTTCTTGATGTAGTTCATGACATGGACGGTGGCGTTCGTGCGCGAGTTGACAGGGAAATATACTCTGCTCTCGTCATCATCCACTCTTGGTGGACGATGACGAGAACACTCGAGCACGTACCAGTGACAGGGACACGGGCACGGTGCGTCCGGCGAACGAGGAGTGCGACACTCGCTGCTGGCGGCCGGGGATGGGTAGTTAGCTGCACTCGTGTGCCACTGGACAGCGACGCTCGCATGTCGGCTGCGCCTCGACAAAGATACTCACGAGTCGCCAAATGGTGGCGATATCTATTTTTTGTTCCGCCGTTTGCGTTTGCGTATCAAGTACCAGTAACAGTGACAGCTGTTTGTTGGTAACTATCGAGATCATTCTACGCAGGCCGCAAAACAGAGGCCGGACACCAGCATGACGGATGAGAGTGCAAAACACCCGTGTGCCGCTATCAGCGTGACGGACTTCCCTGTGTAGTTGAACAATACCACACACACTCGCCTTGTCAAACAGCGGCGTGCACATCGTGCGTCAGCACATCGGGAGGGGGCACTCGCATGTCGGTAATCAGCGTCCCTCTCGCGTGTCGGTGGACAGCGCCAGCGACGCCCTGCATTGCTGGGGTGCTAGTGTCGCCGCTGACGCGTGACGGCGCCACCGGCGCGCCGACAGGCGGCTGTACATGCAGCACTACCAGCGTCACCGGCGCCGCGAGGCGCGGCTGCCGCGCGTCGGGCCCCGCCGCGACCGCAACGGCGCGCGCCGCTACTCGGAGGAGAACGAGCCGGACGAGCCGCCGCCTCCCTACGTGCCCATCTTCACCACCCGGTCGTCCGGCGACTGGGGCAAGCTGCCCACGTACCAGGAGGCGACGACCGGCCCGGCCGGCACGGTGAGTCACGTGATGTGTGACCAGGGCGGGGCTAGCAGCTGCGTGTGCTGAGACGGGCCGAAGACGAGCGCCTTGGAAGGTTAAGAATTTTCGCTGTAATGGTAGAAACTTCTGTGGGAGTATTCGGCATCACACAACCTATCTTTTTCAGAAGAACGATGCATTTGAGATGGAAGAGGGCACAGCGGCGGGTACGGGGGAAACGTCGTCAACTCACGGGGCAGCGGCTGGGCCAGGGGCGGCGGCCGAGTCAGGAGCGGCGGTCGAGCCAGGGGCGATGGCGACGGCTAGAAACTTCCAACCACAAACACAGCACTCCCTGACCCCACCTGCGCCGCACCCTGAGCGCCGGAACTCCTGAGCTTGGGAGCGAGCGACCTCTGGCGAGGGACAGCGTGCAGTCTGAGCGCTCAGGAGAGTCCCTCCTCGCCCGCCCCGGGATCGTGCCGGCGGTCAGGCGCGGCGGCAGCGCCTCGTGTCCGGACGGATGTCTCAGACCTCCGCTCCCGGTCCCCTCGCCGCCAGATGAACTTCAGCGCGCGCGGCCGGTGCACCAGATCCCGACCAGACTGCTCAACGAGCATCATCACGTGACGGGTGGTCGTGTCGTGGGTCACGATGCTGTTGGTGCGGTTGACTGGTGTTCGTGGCTTGGTTTTGGATGTGCAATGTCTTGCTGTATAACAATCGCAGGGGGCTTTACCTGGATGTAGGTATTGTGTATGTGTTGTGATTGGTGTAGGCGATGCTGCTGCCTGTTTTATCAATGGTCTGATAAGCTCAAGGGGTCAGACGAGTTCGTGGCAGCTTTTGCTACCACAAGGTACTATACGCTATGACCGCTGATGCGTCCAAAGCCACGTATTCCTGAGGGAATGAACACTGGACAAGGAACCACTGTAAACTCAATGTGTCACGATTTCATTTGTGCGATCACACCATGTGGCAAGATCATGCCCGGCCCGACATTTTGTTCCATTCTAAATACAAACGTGACGCACAACGTTGTTGGTAAAGTGATTCGCCGCTCAAGTCTGGCGAGCTTGGTCAATCTCCTGGATAGATTCAAGCTGGCAAGTTAATGAGATTGTTGGAATGCATAATACTAACGAGCATCCGGCCCCATCTAGATAGTTTCAAGTTGGCAGGTGAATAAGATTGTCGGAACGTACACTGACAAGCATCCGGCCCCATTTCACATATTGCGGCGATTTCAGACGTCAGGTGATGCTGTCGTTTCAGCGGCACTTTGTTTTATATGTCAAGATTTGGGAACTGCAACCGGCTTATCGCACAGAGACTTGAGAGCGCAGGCCTCACATGTTGACACACAAATTGATGTGCACTATGCATATGGCATAGATATAAAGCACGTTTATTTGAGTAAGCAAGCATGGAGATCCGTCGCTCAAGGGGTTTTACAATGACAGTGACCTTACCAACAATACACATACAGGCTAGAGGGGTGGGGGAAGGGCAAGGTGCCGCTCTGAGGAGAACGCCGGGAACTTTACATTCATTGTTCACAAAAACGGGAAAAATAGGTCAAAGGTTACGGCAGGGCGACTGTCACTTGCAAGTTATGGGCCCCGTTCAATCTGTCGTCAGCACGATCGTCAGCTGGGATGCGTGACGTCATGCGTGCTGGCAGTGCATTCGACGTATGCGCTGACGGGAAAGTTTTTTAAGCTCTACTTTTCCTTCTCCCTTTACCTTTTACTTCAAACCATACACAGGCTGGCTTACTGCCGACACCCACGCACAAAATTGGTGTTTGGGACTGTGGCTTCTGCTCCGGTATTACCATCATCTATTCCATTCATATGTTGTGTTTCTTCCCATTTCTAATTTAATTCAATTTCTTCCCTTTCACTTTAATCGTTTACTTATGCCGCCAAAGATTTGTTGGGCAATGTAACCACACACCACAACAATCGCTATCACTCACCTTTCCATGGCTGCTCTTGACATTCAATTCTCCCTTTACCTACCTCACGTCGCATTTCCCCCCAAATTGGAGATAAGTGCCCCCACCCCACCTAATGTATAACTCGCCAACGCAAAAGCGACAGCTCGTCTGCACCTGAGAAGACCGTCCCAATCAACCTGGACCATTAGCGAAAAGCATGGGCTAGAGTGGTTTCGATGGGGTGAAGTATGACGAATTCTTATGTGTGACTACATGTCGCAGCATTTCTTGTCAGGACAACGCTGCGAGGGACGCGTTCGTCAGAATGATCGACAACCGAGCCTCCGCATCAGTTGCAACATTGGATAACGATGAAAGAAAGGTGTTTTCAGCACACGATATATTCATAGCCATAAGTGAAGTGATGCGGTAAGTATATGGCAATTGATACGCGCAATAAGGGCCAGCAATCGGCAGAAATCAGTGCGAGCGAAAAGCGGTAATTGCCCGGACAGCGGTGAAGCGATTCGGAACGATCAACGACAAAGAAGTACAAAACGCGTGATTGATACGGGTACAAAAAATTCAACTGAAAGTGGCCTCGAGCCAGGCTGGATCATTGCACATCATAACATGGATTGGCAAATGTCGTGGCTGTTTGCACGCAACTTGAAGAAGGCTTTGTTTCTCAACAGACGTTTACTTTTAGTTGGCAATCGAGTACATGACGTCGCGTCCCTCCAAGCGACAAAATACGACACAGTACGCCTGTTCTAATCACCTGACTGAGGCAAAACTGGCATTCGCCTTTCCACTGGGGTGTAAAGTCTAGACGCCATTGCGCTTGCCGTGGAAATGGATGCAAGCAGCTTACACCTTAACGCATCTGGCTTCGGTTCAGGAGCCGAGGATCGGGTTGTAGTTATACGTGTTGTCAGTTTTTACCCCCGGATTACAGAACACATCGCGGCACGACAATGCGGAAGGATGGCATGTCAACACGCATGCGAAGTGCATGTATGTAAATATAACCTTATGTCCATAAAGCGATATCAAACGCTGGCGGTCCCTACCGGGCAGGCGTCCTATCTGCGATTCGGAAGGAATATGGTGCTGTGATATATCTATATGCTCCACTTCAACGAATGCTTAAGTACCAAACGCGTGATTTACTTCAACGACATTTACGGCAGACCTCGGTGGCATGATCATCTGCTATGGGCCACACAGTCAACCACGCTGCCCTTTGTGGGCAGGTGGAGCTGGGAGTGATGCAGCATGTTGTCGATATTCGCACTTCGTCTGTTGTCTCAATTCCTATGTCTTCGATCACGATCCAGTTCGTCTTGGTTTATTATCGAGCATCTGCCCGTGGACGCGGCTAACAGCCAAGCGGATCAGCTGACATTCGCGTCTACAATACACCACTTAACGTCTTGGAAATTGAGTGATATTCGCTAGCTGACAACAAATGCAATGCATTCGTCAGTGATCACACCACCATCTCCGAAGTCCGACCTTTAACACAGCTTTAAGGTTTAAGGTAGGTCCCGACGAACATCGTTACAGCACAACGGGTTACGACACTGAGCGCCGTATGAGCGGCCCCCAAAAACATGTCACCAAAATCGCGGCACATGACGTCCAGGGTAGTCTTCGACTTGAGAACACTTGGTGGCTATCCAAGTATTAGCTTGAATAAAATTGTCAATATGTTCAGGAATATGAGCGGAACTGAAAGAGACAAGACACGTTTCATCAATGCACTGCTGACAACGCTTCATTACAACAGACTATCGAATTATTTTAAATAATGTTAACGCTTGCCAGCCACACAGCACAATTCGTCAACGTCCACACATTTTAAGACAATGCTACATGGTTCTCCGTGTGTCTTTACGCGTAGCCCAAAACATAGTGGCATCAGAACAACTGACAGACAAAATGCAAGTTACAAGAACGAGCTTCAACGGCTTCTCAGCACATCACCAGACATTATGCTTTCCTGGACAGCTTTGACATCCAGCTCACCCACGCTGGACGAGACTTCACGGGACCCCGACTTCCCTGGACAGCTATAGCATCCGGCTCACCTACGCTGGACGAGAGACCTAACAGAACTCCCCCCCCCCCCTCTGTCTCAAAAAGAAAGTGAACTGGGGCGAAGTGGAAAGAGGCATCGGGTAGCTCGAGAAAAACAGCATCAGAATAGTGGCACTGCACATCAGTGGAAATTATCTCTGGTGTATACAACCCAGTCATCGTGGTAGAGTAAGTAAACTGAGGCTGTCTTCCACCTCTAGAACTGCGAGCGACATCACTGCGGCGAAAGCGACATTGTAGACACTCTCGGCGCACTGAATTATATAACGATGGCAGCCTGCCAGTATTCGTGACTTGCAACACATCAGCCCAGGTTACACTGGCCAAGCCTTGTGTACATAAACCAAAACTCGTGATCTTAAAAACCTAACATGAGACGGCAACGGAAAACGCTGTGCAGACGCTGGATGCCATTTATCAACAAATTGATGTCAGCCATTCTTAGCGTGCCGATTGCCGCCGCTTCATAACTTCTGTTCCAGCGTATCGAATGTGGAGTCGGTACGGAGGGTCACGTCAGTCCCCTGCGCCCAAGATGATGAAGCCAAGGAGCCTAGCAAGGTTGATAATTGCACACCCGCTGATTACGCCGAGAATGCAGGCCGAATGAACTCTACGTGAATTATAATAATATTTTGAGCCTGTGCGGCCCTACCCAGTAATCACGCTTCTTAGAAGCTAATATCGTTGCGCACTATTCACAAGTTCATGCGCTTTTTAGCGGAAAAGCTCACATTCTTCAACAACTGTTATCTCTGATATCATTAGTAACTTGTTGAACGGGGTTTTCCTGCAACACTCCAATAACATCGCGGGTTTTCTCAAGAGTACGCAACAAACGTCAGCGCGCATCCTTTACGGAGCACCAGCGATTGTAGTGGCCATGTTGGTATTCAGGGACACGGCGCAACCGGCATTTGAACCCGGGCTCTCCGTGTGGGAACAGGACACACTCAACACTCGGTCTTTACGGCCCCATCATGAAATACTTTGCATTCCCCATTCGCTAAACATGGGAACTGTCGAGCTTCAGCATACGACAAGCGTAAAGAACGCGTGCCGAAACCAACGCGGATATCCACGAACTGTCGTCGCAGCGAGCCGAGATTAGCAGATTCCGACGGAGGGACAACGGGCAATCACTCTGACAACAGTGTGGGGCAAGGTGCACAAACAGGGACGTGCCCTCATGCGCAAACCATATCTCTGTCCGTTCTGGAGCTTCTTGGAAGGATTAGTGTCAGATCCCAGAAAGCAGAGGAGATGGGACATGCATCACATAATGGGACCCGCTACAACTCGCTAATGAACGTCAAAACTACCTGATCGATAGGTAGAATAACAGCCGACAAGAAGGCAGCCAGTTTCACCAGTTTCGAACCCAATCCCGGATACGGGCAGTAGGCCTTACCCCCATCACGATTGGGCTATGACAGCTAAACAGTTGTGTAGCCCCGTTTGACGTGAAAAACATGCATCCAAAACAGGGCCGTATTTCACATTTTGGCTATTACCGCAAAAACAGTAAATAGGTGACCCCGGACACTTACTGCGCATGACAGTCCGTACAGAGCGAACCAAGGAGATCAGCTGCTGCTTGGCGCCCGGGTCCTCGCCGAAGCCACGCAGCTGGTCTTTGCCACCAACTAAACAGCGAAACAGTCATACATCTTCAGAGATGCAAGCTGACAATACACTGTTACAACATTTGTAGCATGCAGACCCACATGTAAGAATAACAGCTGATGCATTAACATTTCTAGCATATAAATTTTCCATCATCTGCCCATTAACTACTAACAACATAATATTCCAGTGAGGAAACAAATACTTGTAATCAACTTCCATTGTAGATATATACAGGCCTGGCTGCTTAAGTTGTCAAGAAATCACAGCATATAGCTGCACTCAAGTACATTGAGATAAAATGAAAGGCTGTGCTTTAAAAATACTCACTCTTTGACAGGAATCTTTCTTCATTAAGAACTGCAAATCCATTGATGACAAGCAGGGATGCCTCAAACAAAGTATATAGGCTAAATGTCATTATTCTCAGCTGAGAGTCAGGGAGTGTTGATGGCTTCAGGTCATCCACACCTGCAAGAAGAAACAACATGAAGATCTGACTAGCGCTCTGCCAGACAACACAAGCAAAACACAAAGAGGATCAAAAGGAAGCCATGGGAGGCACATCCTCCATTGAAGCAGATGCGGCAGACCAAGAATGAAAAGCACAGCAGGGCACCACCAAACAGGCTACCCATATGTAAGAAAGCAACCAAAGCTGCACACCATTATGACAGATGTGGCCACCCAACTTAAACTCATGAAGATGCCACACATATAAGCAGGAGCCATCAGACCTTGCAGCAACTCTATCATATTAAATGCCTCAGGAAGATAAATGCCTCACTGTTGAGCAAATCCTGGATTATGCCTGAATCAGGCCAGGATTAGATAAGAATGGTCAACAAGACAGCTGAGCACGGAACAACGCTCCCTATTGCACTAGCGAGACAAATCTTATGTTAGGTTACACTGGTAGCTTAAATTCCCCAACATTGTCAGCCCTATAAACATCAGTAGCATCATCTTTATTGACATGCTCAGCAGAAGAGAGAATCCTATCCTATCACTGTGCATTGTGTATGGCATGGCCATAACGGTGCTGTAAGTGGATGTATGGCATGTTGCTAATATTGTTCTGCGATAATCATTGTGAAATAATTTGAAAAATGAGCCATGGTTTGCTGAAGCAGAAGTGTGCAGATTTTAAACAAAAACATTGAAGGTAGCTATCCTTGCAATTTTAGCACATAGGTATTTACTTTAATCACAACTGAGTATAACAAATATTGATACAAGGGTTCCACATTTGAGTGCATACAATTTTTAATCAAATCAATATATATCTTAATCAAGCTTCATTTTCAGATATATACCAAAACATAACATAAAACAATTATCAGACCCAATTTCCTGAGTGAGGTAAAACAGTCCACAGTATCATCTTGCTTCACTAGCCACTACCAATGACTTAGCATACCAACTGTAGTTGGTTACAAAACAGATATTTAGCATGCCCTAACCAATCTGCTGTAGTTTATTTGGGCCAGCAGCAGGCATTGCTAAATATATCAAAATTCATTCAGTAATCTACAGCCTGAGTCTGGCTCGTTCTGCTGCACTGTAATTCAATAACAAAACCTGTATCAAAGCAGAATGTATGAGGTTTTACAGCTTTCTGACCTCACTTTAGCCATGGTGTATTGGAGAAAAAATATGCAGCTAACAGAGATAAAAATAAGCATCTTAATGTAACACCAGCTTGACCAGTGGACAAAACGTCATTGTCCATGCAATGTCTACCTGCCATTTCATAGTAGGGAAGGTGTTCAGGTTCCTGCTCAGTTAGGCTTTCTTTAGCCTGCATTACCTTGAAAAAATTGTGGGTGATACACAATTCATTTTTGTACACTTTGAGGTATTAACATTTTCACACTCAGTCCCCTAATGCATTGTGAAAAACTTTGCCTGTGTAATGTTGCACAAAATTTTTATTGCTGCTGCTGGATTCTCAAAAATGTTTCCAAGTTCTGGCCAGACACCACTGAAAACGTGCAGCACTGCAAAATATGGCTATTCGTTGGTAATGATGTATATATTGCTACGCCATCGCAACTGTAATGGCGTGCCCTTTGAAGTTACGTCCCCTTACCCCTCTGCTATCTGGGCCGTGCGGTAAACGGAAACAGATCCTTTCTAAGGTCCGTCCGACCACTACAACACAACACACGAAATATCGGCCGAGACCTGTAGCGCAAATGTATTTTGACCGACATCCACCTAACACGCGTCAATGCCAATCCATTCCGTAAGTCAGCGGAGCCTTACATCGTCTTTGTTTCGCCATAGATGAAGCAATTACTGGGAGTACCATATCCAAAGAGCTTCCATATTCCAAAGACGATGACGTATTTTGCCTTTGGCAAAAATGCATGGCAATTAAGGGAAGACAGCAGCAATCAGCAGATCGCAATCGGAAAAAAGCAAAGCAACATGTGTCTCGGTAAACCCTCCCTACCTCCTACACACAAAATTATGTTAAGCCCTCTGTTTGCCATCTTTGGTAATGAGAGGCGTTGGAGTTACAATGCTCACATCTCAGCTGCTGCTGCTGCTGCAGGCGAATCACTATCACATCACAGCAGCAGTTACAGCCCATCCGAATTTGGGAGGGGGACGTGCACATGATGCAGTGAAGATAGGGTTTCCCATAGAGCTATGCTGATATCCCGTCGCGAGGGGGTTCCTTTAACACGACCTAGCTCATGAACCACAGGCAAGGTACCCCTATTTTGATCGTTTATACCTGATTGACAGTGCTTTTTGCTGTAAATTTCAACCCTTGGCATCAAAAGAGTATGTCAAGGTTCACTAAGGAATGATGCACATGCCTACGGGAATGCATGCCATTTGCATCTCGTAAGCACCTTCACCCATGCAAACCTACATGCAATTTTTGTGATTTTCATGCTCAAATACTTTGTTTATGTAACCTGTGACTTGGGCTTTCTGGTGACAGCCTTTTCAAACTCCGGCTTTATTATTAAGCCGTTCAGGTTCTTCGGCTTGTGTTGAACATGAAATGAGCTGAAAAATAAACCATTCAAGATAAATAAAACACCAATGTTTTCTGGCCTTAAAATGCTCGTGGAAACATTTGTGCAGAAAATGAAGAATGGCTTAGACATGAATTTGAATATTTAGGGTGCCTGCGCAATACGATATGGTTTACGTAACGTAACAATGCGATGTAAAATGAAAGGACTCACCGTTTCTATGTACATAAACATTAAGGAATTTCTCCATGCCCTGCTGTTTTTTCACGCAAACACCAGTCTGACTATTCGCTCAGGAATTACAGCCGATTGATCAAATCATTGTTACAACTTCTCCTGCAAGACACCAATTTGAGTAAAATCCCCCAACTTCATTCTGGGATAGCTGAGAATCCCCTTATAGCAGTTTTTAACCTTTCTTGGCTTATATTTTATCAATCGGATTCATAAGAAATGGAACGCAGGCACGGGACGCATACTGCAATCACAAATCAACTGGTATAGGTGTTTTGTTGCATCAGGGTTTTTTGTCAAGCTCCAAAGCAGTTTTTTCCAATTTCTTGTTCAGCTTTACGTTCCTTATTGAAAAAGAAACGTTGTGCCCCATTTAATTATGTAGCTTATGCTCTTTGAAGCGCAATTATATAACGAACAAAACTCCTTGTGCTACACTTTGGTGCCAGCGAAATTATGAAAACCGGTGTTTTCCTCATATCTCGGCTGTCCTTTGACATATTTCAGATCCTGATAAGCAAACGATTGTCCATGCTTAGGGGCCTTGTTTGATGTGCGGTAGGACTACTTGTATGCAAATTTGACTGGCTTATTTTTAGATCTATCATTCTCAAAATTGTGGCACTACCATTTGTCCGATTTTCAATTTCTATTTACCAATCAACTCGTGTAGTCATGATGTTTTATTCGTTTCTGAACGAAACGAATCAGAATGCTTCGAATATTTGACGTTACATTTGGTACAAAATCCACATGTTATTGAAATACAACGTTGCGCCGCATGGGAGAACTACATACCGATGCCAAAAACCCCAAAAACGTACCCGAAATACTGAGTGTTATCTAGAACAAATGTGACAAGCCTTAGAAACCTGAAGAGAAAATGATAAGTGCCAAATGTCAAAGCCCTAGCCCCAGGTTTAACTATCTTAATTTCACTAGTGTGTTTTTGCAAGGTCGACCATGCTCGTCCCTCGTGGAGCCTCAACCAAAGCAGAGGGGCGTAAGCAAAGTTGACATGCAGGAATGAGTTAAACAATTATAGTATAGGTCACTTTGGTCCCAAGTGACCTTTCAAAGCGGCGTTCGGTTAAAAACTGCTGGAGAAACAAACGTGTTAGTAATGCAGTTTCCCCCCACAAACAAACACGCAAGATTTTTATAACTTTTCATCTTACAAGGTGTCAGACTCGCCGTTGGGAAGCGGCCCACAGAGACCCAGGCTCACGTCTTCCCATGGTCCACACGGAAGCTTGCTGGTCACAACGGGATCTGGAGGACTCCCTGGCGACACAGCGCGACAGGCGTGACAAGATCTGATCAATTGCTCAGCGCGTTTGTCGATGTCTGGCCACCACTCCTTGCTCCGTAGGTACTATTTCGTTTGCACGATCCCCCGACGACCCTCATGAGCAAACTGCAGGGCCTGCTTGAACAGGGTTACCGGAAGGATTATCTGATTCCCGCGCAACACCATGCCATCATACACGCAGTACTCACTCTCGACCGGTTTGTACGCCTCTGGGTTACCCTGCGGCTCACCTTCCGTCTACCATTTCAGCAACGTTTGCGGCTCGCCGTTGTCTGCAGACCAAATCTGTGCTGTCTCCTTCCGAAGCTGCGCTGTCTTCAGCGCTACTAGAGCGGCGTGCACATTGACAAGGCAGATGTAGCTCTCGCCGCTTCTTTGCGCATTAGAGGGCGCTACTTCTAGCATCAGCCTGCACAGACAATCAGCAATGTTACTTGGTCCTGAAAAGCGTAGCGACGCGGTTGCAAATGAAGCGCCCAAAGCTCTATTCATGCTGGTGACAATAGCTTGCAATGGCTTATGGCCTGTGATCAACATAAATGCTGGACGAACAAGTACACATGGGAACGTTTGCAGCCCCCAATGACGGGAAGGGCCTCTCGTCCAGTTTGTGAGAAGCGCCACTCAACAACAGTCACACTGCAGATGGAATACTCAACTCGCTGCGATAGTCCACTGGCCGTTTCTGCCGCAGAACAGCTCCTAGCCTAACTAGCGATGTATCAACTACTAGTTGGTTCTCTATGGTCTGTCTAAAGTAGGTGGGAGTCCTCTGCTCCGACAGCCGACTCTTCTGTTGGATGGAGGCGTTCCCCTGAGTCCTCTTCTCTGACAGTTGCACTTCAGCTGGATGGAGGCGTTCCTCGAGTCCTCTTCTCTGACAGTTGCTCTTCAGCTGGATGGAGGCGTTCCTCGAGTCCTCTTCTCTGACAGTTGCTTTTCGGCTGGATGGAGGCGTTCCCCCGAGTCCTCTTCTCTGACAGTTGCTCTTCAGCTGGATGGAGGCGTTCCTCGAGTCCTCTTCTCTGACAGTTGCTCTTCAGCCGGATGGAGGCGTTCCCTAAGGTGTGTCCCAGGGCCATTTAGCTTCGACTTGGTGAGCTCACGCAGGGGCGCTGTGATTATAGACAAGTCAGGAATAAATTGGCCTAAGAAATCATGTCACCTCAACAGGTGTGCCAGGCTCTCGAACATTTAGGACAGCAGCAGCCTTCAGCAGTGTTGTATTGAGCAGAGAGTACGCTGTCTGGCTTGTTCCAAGCTTGCCCGCCAGACGAGGGGCAAGTGATGCAGGGCTGGAGGTTGACGTCTGTAGTCAGATGTGTCGCCGTATGGGTCCCTATCTCTGAATTCTAATCTGGAGCTGTCAGAACACACTCATTTCGTTACCTATCACTGCGTGCGGCAATTTGGTGATCCGGTTTCCGATAAGACGATACAACGATCGATGTAACAACCAGCTAATAAAACTGCCGATTAAGGGCTTGAATTTTGGTGATGTTTCCAGTCTTTGATATAAAGTTGTTAGACCTTAGCCAAATGCTAAATTAGTGCCGCTTGTCACCGCCGTTTGTATGTTGCTGGGAAACAAAGCAGGCCCGCATCGCCATCTTCGCCGTGATCGCAGGACAGCACAGTGGCTCTAAACCCACATCGCGGTTTGTGTATAATCATTTGTCATACTCACAGCCCTTAAGAAGCAATCGTCCTCCGCGTGATCATGATCGGCGTTATACTACTGGTGGGGTTATTGACGTCGCAGGCGTCCACGCATGACTTGGCAATTACTCAAAATAGTGCATCGTTTTAATAAACAGATGAACTCAACGTTCGGCTGTGGGAAGCATTGCAAAGGGTTTATGCTAGGTCAGTGTTTTGGCAAAACATGTGGTCATTGCACTCATCATGCTCATGAGTAGTGTTCGATGCTCAGACTAGTAGTGCCAAGTGTAAAAATGTTAAAATTTGAAAAATGTAAAAGTTTTAACTATAGATGATATAACAAATTTTGGAAGAACGCCGAAAATCAATGTTTTCAGTGCCTTTCAATTATCCCATGAGGTCCATTCCAGACCGTTCAGTGTCTATAAAGGTCCTGATAATTGGAACACACGCGAAGCTTTCGTTGAAGAACGGACAGTGGACGTCGCTGGCGCAGTTGCTGGCCGTTTCAAAGAGCTAGTGTCATCTAGCAAAGCTATCAGCTAGCAGTGTCCGTGTGTT